ATGTTGTGATACTATGGTAACTTCATGGTTTAGTGTTGTCCTTGTATATGTACATGTCCCATAAGGATGTAAAGATACGTTGTTCTCAGGTGACTGACTCTCATTAGGAAACATCTCAAATCTATGTTGATAGGAACTTTCATGACTGTTTGGTGACAATAATTGGGGGAAGAAAGCAGGATATCTGGAGATGCACTGAACTGAATGTAGACACAATTCTGTCGACATCCCATACCCAGGTAGAGATACTTGACTTCAGACGTAGATATGTAAGGTAGACGTCTGTCATCAGGAAGTATCTGTCCAAAAGGAGGGGTGGATGTCAGGGTTCGCCCTGCTATGGGACAGTTCAGGATGATGATGATGAATCTCGTCATCGTACCCTGCGACCCTTAGTGACACTCAAATACGTGCATACACACGTAGAAAACGAGCATGAGCGGACTTCGCACGGGTGTGCACATTTTGGACCGGACGCTGGACGCTTGCTTGGGGGACTGCTAGGAAACTGGACGTGGGACGAGAGTGGATTTTTGACTGACCGTTTGTTTTTGACATGAAGATAGGTACCAGCGTAGTGATTAGATGTAACGTGTTCTGTTCATAGTTTCATGTAAAGTAATAGTTGTAACTAGAAGCCAGACCATGCTTTGCTGGTGGCGTTAACACTGTCGACGCACTTAGGCCTACACATTGGCGCATGCCATAACGTCTTTGGCATCGAGATATAGCGGGTTGAGCTGGCACTGTACGGGAGAGTGGTAGCGGCTCAGAGCTTAGTTCATAAACGTGTAAAGGCGCCTCTAAGCGATTTTAAAGTTAGACGCGGCCTGGGTTTTGAATAAGGAGCGCTACTCCTCCTGAGGTGTACCACCACTTCGTTTGCATCTTTGGTAATAAAGATTGTGTGTGTGTTGCAACAAGTGTTTGGCTTGAGTGTGTTTGTACGGTGTTTTCCTGTCATTAGCCTATAGCAGAGCCAATGGAATCGAGCCCTAGACAGTTAGGTTTCTGACAGACATTAATAATGAGAGAGTTATTTCAGTCCATCGCAGTGCATTCAGAAATCACTATTCGTATTCGGCCCGACCGCCACTATTCGGCCGAATACCGAATAGCTGTTAGGTCCACTATTCGGCCCCAAAGCGAATACGAAGCGAATATTCGGTACAGCCCTAATATATATATATATACATATATATATATATATATATATATATATATATATATATATATATATATATATATATATATATATATATAGTTAAACGTTATCGTCGGTGATCCGAACACATATTATTTTACCTTTCCCTCAAAAGTGGTCACTATCTGGAAATCGCCATTAAAGTGATCCTCTTTAATGACCAGTTCTGCTTTTGTCTGGTAGGCTGGAGGCACCTCGATCTCGTTGTCTACAGACCAAGCCAGCTCCTGCTCGGACGTGTGGCACACACCTACAGGGATGGAAGGAGACTATGAGTTCGGTTAGACAACTGGTGACGCCACAAGGACAAGTGTTGAAGCTGGGTAGATATATAGATAAGTAGGCAGGTAGTTAGGTAGATAAGTAGGTTAGTAGGTAGATAGGTTGTTGGGAAGGTAGGCAGACAGACAGGAAGACAGGCAGACATACAGACAGGCATATATGCAGACAGACGGACGGACGGACCGGCAGACAGATAGATAGATAGATAGATAGATAGATAGATAGATAGATAGATAGATAGATAGATAGATAGATAGATAGATAGATAGATAGATAGATAGATAGATAGATAGATAGATAGATAGATAGATAGATAGATAGATAGATAGATAGATAGATAGATAGATAGATAGAGAGATAGAGAGATAGAGAGATAGATAGATAGATAGATAGATAGATAGATAGATAGATAGATAGATAGATAGATAGATAGATAGATAGATAGATAGATAGATAGATAGATAGATAGATAGATAGATAGATAGATAGATAGATAGATAGATAGATAGATAGATAGATAGATAGATAGATAGATAGATAGATAGATAGATAGATAGATAGATAGATAGATAGATAGATAGATAGATAGATAGATAGATAGATAGATAGATAGATAGATAGATAGATAGATAGATAGATAGATAGATAGATAGATAGATAGATAGATAGATAGATAGATAGATAGATAGATAGATAGATAGATAGATAGTGTATGTATGTATGTGTGAGAGATAGATAGATAGACAGAGAGAGAGAGAGGGAGAGAGAGAGAGAGAGAGAGAGAGAGAGAGAGAGAGAGAGAGAGAGAGAGAGAGAGAGAGAGATCAGTCAGTTTTTATAACATTTGAAGCCTGAATATTTGTCTCCTGTTTTCCAGTCAGGTTTTCACTTTCTTTCAGGGATTTTAAAAAAATCTTTATATTAGGCATTTTTAGTGTTCCCCTTGTCTGCCTGCGTCTCTGTCGGCCTGTAGCTCGGCTGATCTATTTGTCTTCATTCTTTTATTCATTCTTCTTTCTTTGCTTCCTGGCCCCTTATTTTTGCTATTTTTGACTTTAATTGTCACTTCCGCTGCTCTTCTGCTTCTCTAATATTGTTCTTGCAATAAACACAACAACAACAACAACAACAACAACAACAACCACAACAACAACAACCACAACCACAACAACAACAACAACCACAACAACAACAACAACAACAACCACAGCAACAACAACACATGTTTAAGCTACTAACTTTTCTCATTGGTCAGACTGGCCTGGAATCCCGCATTGGCCTCTATGATTGGGTTCGGGGGCGTCAGTCTCATCTGGATACCCCCGCTGTAAGAGTAGACCTTGGTGAAACAGATAGAACACGACGAGCGGGTGCGCCGTTCAGTCCTCAGGGCGTAGGTTTGAGTCTTGGGCGTGTTGTTGACGAAGTTGGCGCTGAACAGGACGTGCGACGTGGGCGTCGGGGGCACCTCCGGTCGTGTGTACTTGGTCTCGCCTAGGGGGTTGAAAAGAAACATGAACACGTGAGACAGCATTCAGTGATAATTTCATTGATCGAAAGGTTTGAATCGTTCTACAGGATGTTCACAAGATTCCATCTTCTCTTCTTCTTCATTTGTCGTCTCACTGATACCAGGTTGTAGCCCAGTGTCGTGGTTTTGTCGTCTCACTGATACCAGGCTGTAGCCCAGTGTCGTGGTTTTGTCGTCTCACTGATACCAGGCTGTAGCCCAGTGTCGTGGTTTTCTGTATTTATCTCGCGCTTTTGGGATGACTTGAGTAATAGATTTGTTCATCTTTTCGCAGGTTTAAACTACACCATTTATCCAGGTCTTTCTTGCTCTTCTTCTCGCCTTCCTCCCAGATGTTGTACTGTAAAAGTCTCACACGCAGCCTGGTCTGGCTGCGTTTCAACTAGATGGCCGAACCATTTCATTCTTTGTCTGTGAATATAATCCAGACATGGTCTTATTCCAACTGTCTCCCTAAAGCTGGTATTCGTAACTCTGTCTCGTTTAGTGGCCAGAGTAACTAACAGAAATTGCTTGATAGAGACAGACACTGTTCTTTGGCCATATAATGAGAAGAGAGACATTGGAGAACATCGTGACAACTGGAAAGATCAGTGGGAAAAGTGGTAGAGGCGGACCAAGATAGATTATGCTGGCTGAGCTGAAACGATGGCATGGAGGAATATCATCAAGAGAGCTGTTCCAGTCAACCAGGGATCATTATCTGTGGAGGCGCATGAGCGCCTACGCCAGTTGGCAGGGCACCTGATGATGATGTTAGTGGCCTTACTGAGACAGCGCATTTCACATGAAGTTATCTTCTGTTTTAGTTCCTATTCATTGTCCATGTTTGGCACTGATAACATAAAGTGGGGATAAAGATGCTGTTAATCATTTATTATTTTATGTAATTTATTTATACCTTGTCCTCTTCTTCATATATCCAATATCCCCATGATTTTAATTTTTTTTTCAATCATCAATTCTACCAGTTCAGTCTCTTTGTCTCCGATATTTCCATACACGGGGGAAAAAAGCATTGTTGTGAAAACACATTTCGACCGCGTATCCTCCATTTTGAGCTGAAACGCTATAGACAGATTCTCAGAATATCTTGGACAAAGAAGAGGAGAAATATTGACATCTTGAAAGATCTGAACATCAAGGAAGATTGGCTAATAAACAGCATCCTGTCTCGGAAGCTGAAATATTTTCGTCAAGCGCCACGACGGATTGGAAAAAATTATAGCAAAAGGCATGGTACCAGGAAGGAGGGCCAGAGGCCGACCGACACTAAGATTGGCCAAGGATATAAGTGACTCCTTGAGTGTGAAAGTACATGAGGCGGGAGAGCTGGCGAGAGACCGAGTTTTTTTTCAGGCAGACCGTGATGAGAGCGACGTTCTGCAAAGGACCTACTACATGATGATGATCCTCCATTGCTGAAGAACGCGAATAAGAAGAGTTGGACTTCAGTGTGCAAAGATGTCAGTATATATTTATATATATTTATGTCAGCTATATTTATTCGTCATATGTGTGGAAACTTATAGGACGCCGAGTACACCAACATAAACAGATGAAGAACCCTTGAGGCAGTATAAATATTACACATAATACACAAACAAATATGCATTGATGGGCACTCGTATAATAAGAAGTAGAAATATAGAAAGACACACTAGATAACATAAAAATCGAAAGCTACAGTGTCCATGCTGGGAATCAAACCTGTAACTTCCAAATGACGACAGCACGCGCTACAGAAACAAGTGAACCAAGACCAGCGCCCCCCCCCCCCCCCCCATTTCCTAAAATCTCCAATAAAAAAACCAAACAGGGGTCTTCGTTAGCCGTGTCTACTGTACAGCCTGAATCCGCAACTGCAGAACACAGACATAATTCCTCTGAAACCTGTTATCGTTCTGTCCCTTCATATGGCCCGGGGGTCCTTTTGGTAGCAAAACAAAAAAGACCCACTGCCAAACCTTGCAAGCATGTCGTAAAAGGCAACTAATTGGAGTTTGCTAAAAATCTGGTGTTTGGGGTCGAAGGGTGCAAATATCACAGCCTAACTTCAAACTGTCGCAACGTACCCAGCTTACCCTTTTATATGCTAACGCGAAAGAAAACTAAGATAAGACCTTGTTTGTCACAGACAACTGTTGATATCAAGACATCTGTCACTGCCGGCTGTTCGTTTCACCATTTCGGTACGGATGTGAATGTGTTAAATTTAGCAGCCAGGTCACAGTCAATTGATAATTTAACAACAGCGGTCACAGACATTTGCTAACACATTCCCTCTGTCATAGATAAATGTGCATTTAACTTTTCTTGCCTCCCTTTGTCACATACAAACAAACGGTTAATTCAATGCCATCCCTTCATTTCTTGAGGTAAACTGATAATTTAACCTAGCTTCTGTCTTAGAAATTTTAAACCTCTCTGTCACTGACAGTTGAAACCTCTCTGTCACAGACAATTTAAACCTCTCTGTCACTGACAGTTAAAACCTCTGTGTCACAGACAATTTAAACCTCTCTGTCACTGGCAGGTGAAACCTCTCTGTCACAGACAATTTAAACCTCTCTGTCACTGACAGTTGAAACCTCTCTGTCACAGACAATTTAAACCTCTCTGTCACTGACAGTTGAAACCTGTCTGTCACAGAAAACAGGCGATTCAACAAATGTCTGATTCAGGCAAATGCAAGCTGATTTGTATTTGCAGGTGTTTGTATTAAAGATGAAGGGTTAGAGAGAAAGAAAGAAGAGAGAGAGAGAGAGAGAGAGAGAGAGAGAGAGAGAGAGAGAGAGAGAGAGAAGGGGGAGGAGGTGTTACCATAAAGCACGTGCATACGATCCCAGTTGATGATGGGATTTTTGATGTCCGCGTGCTTCTTCTGTTCCCCGTCGAGAAAGTCCTCGGCGTAGTCTTTGACCAGCTGCTCTATGTCCAGAACCTCCACAGACATGGCCGATGTTGGCAAGGGGCCTGGCGACTTGGCTTAGTACAACCACGGGATGTTGTCGGGATAGATGACCAGTGGACCACGCTGCGGAAGAGGACGTTTATAGTCCCTGTTGAAAAAGATAATTCTATTTTTTAAATAATGATAACAAGTGAAACAGAGCGTACTGCATTAGAATAGCAGGCTACAAGGCAAGAGGAAGGCCAAGAAAGAGGTGGGTGGAGGGAGTAGAAGAGACAATATATAAACGTAATATGACATTAAAACAATCTACGCAACTAGCAAACGAAAGGAACACGTCTAACTGCTCTCTGCGATGCTTAACAGCATACGCTGTAGGACATAAAAGTGGAAACTACATGTAACTTCTTCTTCTTCTTCGTCTTCTTCTTCTTCTTCTTCTTCTTCTTCTTCTTCTTCTTCTTCTTCTTCTTCTTCTTCTTCTTCTTCTTCTTCTTCTTCTTCTTCTTCTTCTTCTTCTTCTTCTTCTTCTTCTTCTTCTTCTTCTTCTTCTTCTTCTTCTTCTTCATCCTCCTCCTCTTCTTCTTCTTCTTCTTCTTCTTCTTCTTCTTCTTCTTCTTCTTCTTCTTCTTCTTCTTCTTCTTCTTCTTCTTCTTCTTCTTCTTCTTCTTCTTCTTCTTCTTCTTCTTCTTCTTCTTCTTCTTCTTCTTCTTCTTCTTCTTCTTCTTCTTCTTCTTCTTCTTCTTTTTCTTCTTCTTCTTCTTCTTCTTCTTCTTCTTCTTCTTCTTCTTCTTCTTCTTCTTCTTCTTCTTCTTCTTCTTCTTCTTCTTCTTCTTCTTCTTCTTCTTCTTCTTCTTCTTCTTCTTCTTCTTCTTCTTCTGAAATATGTTGTCTATATCGGCAATGTTGTTTCTCGTATAAATTTCACTGTCGTTTTTAGTTCCTTCAGTGGTCCATAGAGTTATGTACCACTGTTTTTTTTTTTTTTTTTTTCTTTTTTTTTCTGACCAGAAGATTTGCCCTAAAGTATCAAACTCGGTGAAGTCCTGTAGTATATGTTTTGCTGTCTGGGGTACCTTTCCACAGGTGCACATGGCTGACACGCCTATCTTGAACTGAGTGTTCATATGGTTACGTGATCTGTTGTGCCCTGCCAATTGATCAGCTTTCTCATTTCCAGGCACTCCACAATGAGACGGTATCCTCTGCGTTGTGACTCATCGCTAACAGCTGAGTTGTGTCAGCAGTGTTTGCCATTCTGGTAGTTTCCTAGACTGGAGTGCTTCAAGTACTGATTTAGCATCTGTCAGCATTACCACATACTGTGAGCCAAGATTGGTATTTAGCAGTTTCTCTGTTGCTTTCTTGATAGCCTGGGTTTCTGCTTCATAGTTATGGCAGTACTTCCCTGTTGTTACACTGGACTTATCCCTAATACCATCTAGAAATAAACTCTCTGCACAATCCTGCAAAACCATTTCTAACTGCCTTTATGGACATGCAGTGTTTTCACAGAAAACATTGTAAATTGTCTTCTGAACTCCAAATTTCTGTTTCTAAACACTTTCTATCTAAGCAAAGCACCATGTGTGCTCAGCTAATACCTAAGAGTGTTAACCGAGTACACAGTTCATATTTCGTCTGGGTGTGCAAAATACATGGCAAATTAGCTCAGTATGTGCTGTGTATCTTTCAAAAGTCATTCACTAATGCCTTCTTTTACCGTGAATATTGTGCAAAATTTGCTTTCTTCTTTGAAACCATCTAGAAGTAAAAAAAAAAGTTAAGCCTGAAGCGATAGAACTTTCCACCGTTCTGAAATGCCTAGCCACATGGCAAATCTCGTTAGCTTCATTTGCTTTTTGTGAAGATTCCCTCAAGGGGAAATAAGCGATTTAAACAGTTTTTGTTGTCTGTTAATCTCCCCAACTCGCAACCGCACGATGAGATCAAATGGTGAGGAAAATTCTGAACGAAAAAAATGCTGTCTTAACAAAAAATGGCGATGTTAATGGGACGAAAATTACCTATGGATATAAACATTTACCATTCTGCGCGTGCAATCGTGGTTATCTTTGCATACTTGATGCAGGCGTGGAAAAATAAACTTCCTAGCCAGGGATAAACAAATACAAGTTATATCCCTCACGTCCTTTTAAGGACGTAATTGTTTGTTATTTGAAGCCCCACTCTGGCTTTTGCCAGAGGCCGCAATATAGGCAGGCTATAAATATGGCCAATTGTCTGAACGCGGTTTCTGGGACCTCTCCACCGTGATCCGCATCCACATGGTGGCACTTTGTGTCATCGGGTGTTTATCGCTTGTGTGATGTCCTAGTGGGGTAGAACGTCAAGTCAAACAAACACAATTATATGTTTTAAGCACTACCCAGTTTCGTCCTTTTTAGGACGCAATTTTTTGTTATTTGAAGCCCCACTCAGGCTTTTTCCAGGGGCTGCAATATAGGCAGGCCATAAATATGGCCAATTGTCTGAACGCGGTTTCTGGGACCTATCCACAGCGATCCTCATCCACATGGTG